TAATCTAGACCAGTAAACCAGGACCGGGTGGTTCAGGGTCTTCATGGTTCCATCTGGAGCTTCTCTCCTGCACTCTCACATCATCTTCATATCAGCTGCTGCCATCTCCAGATGGTTCTGGTGTCAGGCAGCAGAACCAGGAGGAACCAGTGGACCTCCTCCAGACGACACGCTGAGCAGCATTACTTCATCTAAACCTGATTTCAGAACGTCGTCTGACAACAATCACAGGAGTTACAAACAACGATGAGCTGAGAATTCACTCAGATTTACTGTAAAATGATCCTCAGAGAAAAGTCAGAAGATAGAGTCCTGCTGTCACTCATTCATCTGTCAGTCACAGTCTTCTTCCTGAAGGGGGCGGGGCCATCAACCGGGGGTGGGGCCAGCAGCAACTCATTTAAAGCTAGAGAGTTCAGAATAAAGCCAGGATGATGAAGTCATGGAGGAACGAAGCATCTCTGAAGCACTGTTAGACATTTTCTAAAGACATGAGACACGTTCATGTGATGAAACCTGGAACAGTGTAACAGCATCAGTACTGAATGTTTTCCTGTTATGAGGCTGCTGGAGAACAACACTGTGTCTCTGTCTGCACAGAGGGCCATGCAATCATTTTCCATTTGTTCCTGCCGTTTGAGAGACAGACTGTGAACCAGGATGGGCTTCGGTCGGGATCTGAGGAATTCCCATGAGGGGTTACTGAAGCTGCAGGACTGGGAGTTAAAGGTACAGCTGTCTGTAAGGAGCAGTAAGGTCCGTGTTCAGCACCATGGTCTGCTGTCAGGATGATGAAGAAGCCTGTTTTCATCTGCAGAGTCAGCAAAGATCTGAGCTGTGGAATCACGAAAGCTTTATTAACAGTCTGCTGGGTGAACATTTCACAGGACAGTGTTGTAGTTCACAGTGGAGAAGCTTTGAATAAACTTTATTAACATGTTGTTACAGGCACACTGCAGCTTTAAATAAACTTTATTAACATTGTTACAGACACACTGCAGCTTTAAATAAACTTTATTAACATTGT